AATACCCAACCAGGAGAATGAAGCACTTCTAGCAACCCAGCTGTGGTTTCCAAATACCAAAAGGAGAGAGGACTCCTCGGAAAAAGGCTACTTCAAGATGGGAGGTAGGAAACGGACAAGATGAACCTGGAACATCTTGTGGCAGACAGCAAGCGAATGATCAAAGACTACTGGGGTCATATCAGGATACAGGAGCCCACCACCCAACATGGAAGGATTTGAGCATCAATGAGGGTACAACGTAAATGGATCTCAACACATTAATATTAAATATACTTCACACTCACACCCCCCTAACTCATTGGTTACCATGGCAGAAGGCTAGGGAACTGACTCATTATTTTGAAAATCAATAAAGAGAAGGCAAGAAAGTAGCATTTATCCTGTCTTTCCTCACTGTAACATGGGTAACCAAATAGCAGATGAAGGGAAGTTTTTCTTCATAAAAAGATTCTAGCTAATAAAGGAAGAGGGAATAATAGTATATCATCATTTTATAATCCGTAATGAATTGATAGACTTAAATATTGAGCATCAATGGCTACTAAATCATAAAAAGACACCTAAATATATACATATTTTTTTGGTGAGGAAGATTGGCCCTGAGCTAACATCTGTTGCCAATCTTCTCTTTTTGCTTGAGGAAGATTGTCCCTGAGCTAACACCCGTGCCAATCTTCCTCTACTTTTTGTATGTGGGACGCCACCACAGCATGGCCTGACAAGTGTAGGTCCATGCCTGGGATCTGAATCCTCAAACCCCAAGCTGCTGAAGCGGAGTGCGTGAACTTAACCACTACACCACAGGGCCAGCCCCAAGACACTTAAATATTATGTTTCCTAGTATTAACCACCTATAAGTAGTCTTAACAAAAAAACTGACCCTCAATCTGATCAAGCCTCTAGATACCAACGACTAATTTACAGGAAATATCAAGGAGAGAGGAGCATGTTAAACTACACTATGGGGATGCAGCCAACAAAAACCAGGCTCTGAGAAACTCTACAGGGTAAACAACCTAGTTTCTTCAAAAAATAAAATTCAACAAGAAAAGGATGAGAGAGAATGCATAGATTGAGACTTAAGAGACATAAGACTCCACTGCAATGTGTGGACATTATTTGGATCCTGATAACTTTTTAAAAAAATTGACATTTATGAAACAGAAATTGGAACACTGACTATCAGATATGTAATGGTATTAAGGCAGTATTTCCATTTTTTTAAGGAGTGCAAATCTTTTCTAAACTTGGGATATACTTTAGAAATGCATATGAAATATTTATGGATGAAATGATATAGCTAGGATTTACTTAAAAAGTAACATGGAGTGGGGGAAATGGGTGGGAATACAGATACAACAAGACTGGCCATGAGCTAATAATTCTTGAAGTTGGTAATGGGGGCACTGGGGTACACTATAATATTCAGTGTATTTCTGTGTATGTTCAAGTTTTTCATAATAAAAAGTTAAAAATATACATATACATTTTGATCTCACATTTCTACTTCTAGAGATTTATCTTAAAGATGTACCACACATATACAAAATAATTTATATGCCAGAATATTTATTATAGGATTGTTTGGAAGAGCAAAAAATAATGGAAAAAACTAAACTGATAAGACTGAATAAATTACGAAACACACACATGATGGAACAGTATGCAGTTGTTAAAAAAGAATAAGGCAGCTATATATGTATTGATATGGTCCAATCTTCAAGGTATAAGGATAAGCAAAAATAGCAATGTATAGAAATTTGCTACCATTTGTGTAAAAAATTTTTACAAAGAGTCTGTTATGTGTATATCTACACTTAAGCAAACATGAAAACCAGGAAGTTTATCAAGAACTTGACAGCAGTGAGCAGTGGGCAGAGATAATGTGGAGACTTGCGTCTGTATACCTAATTGTAACTTTAAAATTTTTATCCTGTGCATGTGTTTTAACTATTCAAAATGACAATTTTTAATGTTATAGCTTTGATCCTCTCCAACTGTACATCCTAATCATTAAACCACATGAGGAAAAATGACATACAGAACACTGCTTTCCAATCCTTTGTAGGTGGCGGCACATGCAGACAATGCAGATGTTTTTGCAGAACCCTCAGGATGTCTGAGTAGATGGATGGCATTGGGGTGCAACGGGCACTCTGCCCCCGACACTGCCTGGCAACCCCAAAGGCTCAGGGGACCCATTTCTTGACACTTTTCAGATTCATTCACAAGCCCTGATCCAGACGTCACTAGGGTTGAGTCAAGGCTCTTTTCCCCATCACTGTCAATCTCCTGTAGTTACAATAAAAATTCTGAAAACAGGTGCCGGCTCCGTGGCCGAGTGGTTAAGTTTGCGCGCTCCGCTGCAGTGGCCCAGGGTTTGGATCCTGGGCACGGACACGGCACCGCTCGTCAGGCCATGTTGAGGCGGCGTCCCACATCCCACAACTAGAAGGACCTGGAACTAAGATATACAACTATGTACGGGGCGGGGGTTTGGAAATAAAGCAGAAAAAAAAAAAAAAAGATTGGCAACAGTTGTTAGCCCAGGTGCCAATCCTTAAAAAAAAAAAAGGAAGATTGGCAACAGTTGTTAGCCCAGGTGCCAATCTTTAAAAAAAAAAAATTCTGAAAACATAATTAATCCAGGACAGGTGAAACTCCAGACATTCCTTTTAAATGTAGCTTCTTAACTTTAATAGACTGATTTAAATTAGCAGGAGTTTTACTTATATTTATCTTCACAAATGATAATCACCTACAATTTGTCTTGGGAGATAAGCTTGTTGAGTTTATCCTCATTTTATTGAGCCTTGAAAATGAACTGGCAAACTTCTCTCACGGATTATCTGTTCCTTGAAGTTTTTGTAGGTTAAAGTTTCTTTAAAGGGACAGAGCTTTGATGACTACGATATTGTGATTTATAAGAAACACATTTCTCGGGGGCTGGCCCCGTGGCCAAGTGGTTAAGTTCCGTGCGCTCCGCTTCGGCGGCCCAGGGTTTTGCCAGTTTGGATCCTGGGCATGGACGTGGCACTGCTCGTCAAGCCATGCTGAGGTGGCGTCCCACATGTGACAACCAAAAATATACAACTATGTACCAGGGGGCTTTGGGGAGAAAAAGGAAAAATAAATCTTAAAAAAAATATATATATTTCTCAGACATATTTGGTCTTCATCCATAGTTTCCGGCTCACAGTTCTCATAACCTTTGGAATTTCCTGAACTCACAAGAGCAATGGGAGGATTTTTTGTTAAAATATTTGGCCTGCTGTCCTCAGCTCCTGAAAACCCTTCAGGGCCATAAAGGTGAAATGGGTGTCTTATTTATGTTAATGAAGGTGACTTTTTCCTTTTTTTGAGGAAGATTAGCCCTGAGCTAACTGCTGCCAATCCTCCTCTTTTTGCTGAGGAAGACTGGCCCTGAGCTAACATCCATGCCCATCTTCCTCCACTTTATATGTGGGACACCTACCACAGCATGGCTTGACAAGCGGTGCCATGTCTGTACCCGGGATCTGAACCAGCGAACCCAGGCCGCCAAAGTGGAACATGCGAACTTAACCACTGTGCCACCAGGCCAGCTCCTGCAGGTGACTTTTGAACCCCACCCTTGGGGTCCTGGTTGCCAGGAGAATCAACCATGTGATGAGAGGACTGAAACTTTCAGTCACACTCCCTGATTCCCAGGGAAGGAGACCTGAGATTCAACCAACTGCCAATGGCCAACGACTTGGTGAATCAGGACTATATCAAGAAGCTTTCATAAAAACCCAAACTGACAACTCATTGGCCTTTTTCAGAGCTTCCATGTTGGGGAACCAGAATGCTTCCACGTGTCATTGTGCTGGGCCCCAAGCTCCACTAGGACAGAAGTTCCTTTGTTTGGGACCTTACCCTACGTATATCCTTTAATATCTTTTGTAATAAATTGGTAATCTAGTGAATAAACGAGTTTTCTTGAGTTCTGTGAGCGATTCTAGCAAATTAACTGAACCCGAGCAGGATGGTCATGGGAATCTCTGGTTTACAGCCAGTCAGTCAGAAGTACAGGTGACAACCCGGGCTTGCGACTGGCGTCTAAAGTGGAGGCCGGTCATGTGGGACTGAGCCCTTTACCTGTGGAATCTGAGTCTATTTCTGGGTAGATACCGTCAGAACTGAGCCGAACTCTCAGACACTCTGCTGGCGTCCGAGAACCGCTTGTGGGTGTGGGGAGGTCTCCATGCACATGTCGGAACTGGGTCCAGGAAGCTTTGTGATGACTTCCTATGTCCTTTCACAACTATTGATTTATTCAGTTATTCCACATCTTCTTGAACCAATTTTGATATTTTTGTAAAAATCCATTCTCCAGATTTTCAAATATATTAAAGTCATGCATAGTAGCTACTTAAAAAAAATCCAGCCTTTCCTCATTCATATTGCTAAATGTTTTTTCTGTATCAGAGTCGTCAATCTTTTATCTTATTATATAGTTAAATAAATAACCTTCAGAGTAAGTCTACTGTTTTTTCTACTTTATTCTTTATTTTTAATAATCATTATTACTGTTGACTTGGGTTTATGTGGTGATTTTTTCCCACCTTTTAGAGTTCACTAGTCATTCATTCAACATGCTCAGCATATAACTGGCGATGGGAGGTGCTGGAGTTCTACCTTGGGAGAACAGGCCCTGCCTCCAGTCCTTGGCTTCTGACAGGAGTCCAGCTTTGGCTACGCTGAACTGGTTTTGATACAGAGAAGTGTCATTCATTTGTAGTTTGTAATTCTAGTTTTGATTTTTCTTGAAATGAACATATACTTGGAGGTGGTTTTAGACTTCTAAATGGCAGATTTCTTCTGGCTACTCTTCTGTCAATTTCTAATCTTCTGAACTGTTTTTTTCAGTTAAAAGATGAGGGCAGTGGGGGATGGATAACGCTTTACTGACTTGGCACCTACAGAACAGGTGGCTACAGGCCCTAGGACTAATCTTTTGAATTTCTAACCTTTTGAATGAAGGCCTTCTCATGATAATTATACTTTACTACTGTTTTTCAGAATGAATTACCATAACAAGTGGTTATGAAGCCTTTTTGAAATTTGTTACATTCATAAGGCCCTCCTCTCAAATGAACTCAACAGTAATACTGTTATAATTAATGACAATAACTAACATTTATTGAGCATAGGCTTTGTATAAAATATCTGATAGTCCTCAAAAAAACTCTATTAGGTAGGTATATTTATCACTGCTTAAAAATAAGTAAACTGAAGAACAGAGAGACTGCATAATTTGCCCAATGCTATTCAGTCAGTAACTGGTGGAACTGAGTTAATGTTAAGTAAGGTGTATGCCATGGCAAAAGGCACATTCACAAAATACTTCAATAGGGTCATTTTCTATTAGAAATTCTCAGAAGTTTAATACATTTTGAATGGTAATAGAAGACTTTTTACATTCATATTAATATCTTTTTCAGCATAAGTTCTTTGATGCTTAGTAAACAGTGAGTGTGAGGCAAAAAGAATCCCACATTTATTGAATTTTCTTCTGGTACAAGGTGTCTGATGTTCCATAATGGAAGTGACAAATGAAGAATTTCTGACATTAATTACATTACATTACACATTACCTAATATTGAGTCAGATGTGAACTTCACATAAAGGCTTGCCTACATCCCTAACGTTCAAGGCATTCTAACCAGTATGGATTCTGTAGTGTTCAATGAGCTGTGAGCCAAGAATAAAGGCCTGCCCACATTCTCTACATTCATAAGGTTTGATACCAGGATGAATTCTCTGATGTTCAGTAAGTTGTGAACTACGGATAAAGGCCATTCCACATTCCCTACACTGATAGGGTTTCTCACAAGTATGAATTCGCTGATGATGAGTCAGTTGTGAAACACGAATAAAGGCTTTCCCGCATTCCTTACATTCGTAGGGTTTGTCACCAGTGTGAATTCTTTGATGTTGGATAAGGTATGAACTACGACTAAAGGCCTTCCCACAGTCCTTACATTCATAGGGTCTGTCACCAGTATGAACTCTTTGATGTCGAGTAAGCTGTGCATGCTGCCTAAAGGCCTTCCCACATTCCTTACATTCATAGGGTTTCTCCCCAGAATGAATTCTTTGATGTCGAGTAACTTCTGAGCTATGAATAAAGCCCTTTCCACACTCCTTACATTCATAGGGTTTCTCACCAGTGTGAATTCTTTGATGTACGGTAAGTTGTGAGTGCTGTCTAAAGGCTTTCCCACAGTCCTTACACTGATAGGGTCGAGCACCCGTATGAATTCTCCGATGAACAGTAAGTTGTGAGCCACGAATAAAAGCTTTCCCGCAATCTTTACATACATAGGGCTTCTCACCTGTATGAGTTCTTTGATGCAGAATAAGCTGTGAATGCTGTCTAAAGGTCTTCCCACATTCTTTACATTCATAGGGTTTGACACCAGTATGAAGTCTCTGATGCAGAATAAGTTCTGAACCACGACCAAAGGCCTTCCCACATTCCTTACAGGCATAAGGTTTCTCTCCCGTATGAATTCTCCCATGTTGAACAAGGTGTGAGGCACGACTAAAGGCCTTCCCACATTCCTTACATTCAAAGGGTTTTTCACCAGTGTGAATTTTCTGATGTTGAATAAGGTGTGAGCCACAGCTAAACGCTTTTCCACATTCACTACATTCAATCAGTTTCTCGCCAGTCTGACTGCTCTGATGTAGAGTAAGGGATGTATAATGCTCAAAAGTGGGCATGTTTTCATACGCAATTTCCACTTGCTTGAAACAGCACTCTGGATTTACCTGTTGTCTTTCAAATTGGCCATTGCATTCCCAGTCATCTCTAAAACTGGAGCCCTCAAAACCACAGCATCTAAGGCTTTCCATGAGCCCCCAACTGAATGACTCTATTTCAAAAAGGTCTTTTTGTGGAAATTTCTCACACCTGGACTCCAAGTCTGAAAAAGAAAAAAAAAAGTAAACACAAGCTGTTTTCCTCTTATAACAGAAATTTAAAAAAATCTATAGTAGAGAGACAAAATGAAAATAATAATCATAAAAGGTGAATGGCTTATATAAGTCTCAGATATTGCTGTGCAATTTCCAAAAAGTACATGAAAGCACAAATATGAGAGCTTATATGGTGCTAGAAGGGACTAAGAAAAGAAATTAAGCCAGGGTTCTCAATTTTGCTGGGGATCAGAACCATCCAGAAAGCCTGCTAACAATACAAATGTCCAAGAACCACCCCACACTGAATCAAAATCTACAGGAGTAGGGCCTAGGCATGTCTGTGCATGTGCCTGTATATATACATATCTATTCATCCATCTATTTCAAAAATAATATATTTTTTTTGAGGAAGATTAGCCCTGAGCTAACATCTGCTGCCAATCCTCTTTTTGCTGAGGAAGACTGGCCCTGAGCTAACATTCGTGCCCTTCTTCCTCTGCTTTATATGTGGGACGCCTACCACAGCATGGCTTGTCAAGTGGTGCCATGTCCGCACCAGGGATCTGAACCAGCGAACCCCTGGCCACCAAAGTGGAACGTGTGCACTTAACCACTGAGCCACCGGGCCAGCCCTATGTATATATTTTAAGATTCACATAACATGACATTCTCCACTTAACTATTTTAAAGTACACAATTCAGTGGTCAGCAGTACATTCCCAATGTCATGCAACCATCACCACTATCCAGTTGCAGAACATTCTCATCACCCCAAATAGAAACCCTGTGCTCGTCAAGCAGTCACTCTCCATTGATCATTCTCTCCAGCCCCTGGCAATCACTAATGCCAGAGAACCACTAATTTTGTCTCTATGAATTTGCCTACTCTGGGCATTTTATATAAACAAGGCATCTATATATTTAACACTTTCCACCACATGGTGCTGATGCCAATCAAGACAAAAAGCTCTACTTAAACTTTCTCACAGCCTCTCCACTGCCCTTAGAATGAATTCCAAACTCACTGTCATGCTGCACAGGCTCTTGGCAAAGCAGGTCCCTGATTATCTTTGCTGCCAGTTGTCTCAACCGAGAACGATACATCTTCATATTAAGCACTCTCCTCCATCCTCTCTATGTACCAAACCGCAGGCCTCCTTTGAGCACCTAGAACAAATCTGGGTCTTTTCCAGCTTAGATTTCTCCGCAGGTTCTTCTCCTTACCAGGAATCCTGTCCTGGTTCTTTGTATGGCTGCTCTTCTCATCCTTCAGGTCTCAGATTAAAACTCACATTTTCAGAAAAGCTCTCAGCCTGATAACCCTAAGCATACACCTTGATTCTCTCTCTCTCACAGTTTGTGCCTTGTCTTCCTAACACTTTCATCAGTTGAAATTAGATTTTCATTTATTTACTATTTGTTTTCTGTTTGTTTTCTTGCTTCTAAATCTCCCCAAAGGCAGAAATAATGCCTTTCTCACTAGCCATTGTAACCAAACCCTAGCATATACGGTAGCTTTTAATAATGGATTGTTGAATGAATAAATATCAGATTCTAGAAACAGACCAATGGAACCCAATAGAAAGACCAGAAATCGACTGAAGTTTATAAGGAAATTGAATTTCTTATAAAGGTGGTATCTCAAAGAGGAAAAGGATAGTTTTTGTAATAAATAATGCTGAGGTAACTGGCTAATCATTTGGAAAAAGATGAAAGTGGATCCATACATTGCCACCATATACCAGAATAAACTCCAAAACAGAATTTTAACGATAAAAGAAAAGAGAAAACACACAAATACTGGAAGGAAACAAAGTGGGTTACTTTATAAGCTAGGTATGGAAAACGTTCTAACAATGACTCAAAATCCAAAAGCAACAAAATAAAAGGCTGATCAATTCCCCTACGTAAAGGTGAAAGACACAATAAAACAGACAACCGGCATATGAACAAAAACACCAAAAGCAAAGTCAAAAGACAAATGACAGAGAAAATATTTGAAACTTACATTACAGATAAGAGGATGATCTTCCTGACTTATAAAAAGCTCTTAAAAATTGAGAAATAGCCTCAAAAAGTTAAACATAGGGAGCTGGCCCCAAGGCCGAGTGGTTAAGTTTGCACGCTCCGCTTCGGTGGCCCAGGGTTTCGCTGATTCGGATCCTGGGCACGGACATGGCACTGCTCGTCAGGCCACGCTGAGGTGGCGTCCCACATCCCACAACTAGAAGGACCCACAACTAAAAATATACAACTATGTACCAGGGGGCTTTGGGGAGAAAAAGGAAAAGAAAATCTTTAAAAAAAAAAAAAAGTTAAACATACAATTATCATTTGATCTAGCAATTCTACTCCCAGGTAGCTTCCCAAAAGAAGTGAAAACAGGGACTCAGCTACCTGCACACCAACCTCCACAGCAGCACTGTTCACAACAGCCAAAAGGAGGAAAGAACCCAAGTGTCCATCAACAGATGGATGGACAAAGTGTGGTATATACATACAATGTAATATCACACAGCCTTAAAAAGGGAGGAAATTTTGATAAATGTTACAACATAGATGAACCTTGAAAACATTATGCTAAGTGAAATAAGCCAGATACAAAAGGCTCCATATTGTATGTCTCCACTTACATGAGGTACCTAGAAGAGTCAAATTCATAGAGACAGAAAGTAGAATAGAGGTGACCAGGGGCTGGAGGAGGGGAAAATGGAGAGTTACTGTTCAATGGGTGCAGAGTTTCTGTTTGGGATGAGGAAGAGTAAGTTCTGCAAATGGACAGTGGTGATGGTTGCACCACATTGTGAATGTAACTAATGCTACTGACTTGTACACTTAAAAATGGTCAAACTAGGGGGCTGGCCCCATGGCCGAGCGGTTAAGTTTGTCTGCTCTGCTTCAGTGGCCCAGGATTTCACTGGTTGGAATCCTGGGCGCAGACACGTTGCCACTCATCAGGCCATGCTGAGGTGGCGTCCCACATGCCACAACTGGAAGGACCCACAACTAAAAATACACAACTATGTACCGGGGGTTTTGGGGAAAAAAAGAAAAATAAAATCTTTAAAAAAAAAAATGGTCAAATTGGTAAATTTTATGTAATGTTTACCACAATTAAAAAAAATCTAATTAAAAAGGCTCCCCCCTACTCCTAAAACTACAAAGACTCAGAAAACACACCAACTGAATATTCTATGAACGATAATTCTTGTTACGAAATAAACAGTAATGAGTGACCATAACAAGGGGAGACAATCCTGGATTATCTGGGTGGGCCCAATGTAATCACAAGGGCCCTTATAAGTGTAAGACGGAGGAAAGTCAGAGTCAGAGAGAGATCTGAAGATGCCACCCTGCTGGCTTTGAAGATGGAAGGGGGCTATGATCCAAGGAATGCAGGTGGTCTCCAGAAGCTGGAAAAGGCAAGAAAACTGATTCTCCCCACAGCCTCCAAAAAGGAATGCAGCCCTGCAGACAACTTGATTTTAACCCAGTGAGATACATTTTGGACTTCTGCTCTCCAGAACTATGAAATAATAAATTTGTGTTGTTTTAAGCCACCAAGTTTTTGGTAGTTTCTTACAGAAGCCACAGGAAACTAACAGAGAAGGAAAAAACTGAGTAATTCATCAATGCATCACACCTGCCCAATCTTAGCCCTGGAGTCCACTCTCCCAAGGAAAGGCAGGTTAGAGCCAAAGTACAAAGAGAAGCCAGAAAGTTGGTTCTTGGGTTTTTGAGCTTTGAAGTGCAGAGGTTTTGGTGATTTAAGGCTGTTTTAGGCGCATGGCAAGTATGATTTTGATTATATATACTGTGCTCCTCAAACATGGACTTTCAGGTGTTTCTCTAAATCAAGGGTTGGCAACCTTTTTCTTTTCTTTAAAGGGCCAGATGGTACATACTTCAGGCTTTGTGGTCCAAGAGGCAAAAATGATGATATAGTCACTTATACAATAAGAGAGAAAACAAATTATCACAAAGTTTTTATTGATGAAATTCAAACTATAATAATAATTAGTCTTATACTTAAATAATTTTTTTTTTTTTTGTAATACAGGTCTATGAACGAGAAGAACAGAATTATTTTCTGGGGGAGATAACATTTCACTTAACTGGAGTTCAGGGTTAGTGTTCTCCAGCATCAGAATTGATGGCAATGTTCATCTATTAGTGCTGACCTGTAATGAGATTTTATGTATTTCATCTTTGAAAATGTTTTGTAGATAGTGCTGCCAAATACTGAGATCAGTCCACGAGCAGGAGATCTTAACTGTGTATGTGCATCCCTTAGAAAGCATTTACAGAACTGAATAGGCTCACAGGCCATGTAAACACAGGCGGCAGACGGGATTTGGCCCGCAGGCCGTAGTGTACAGATGACTGACTTATATCATTACTGTTAGTGAAGAATAATTCACACTATAAATTATGAAATATTATAAGAACAATGAAAGTACGAAACTAAAATTCCAGATTATTAAAACAAAATCAGAGTGGGGTATGCGTGAGGGTGACTCTAGGGAGAGGTCAACACACTTTTTCTGTAAAAGACCGGATAGTAAATGTTTTAGGCTTTGTGGGCCACAAAAGGTCTCTGTCACATACACATATATATATATTTTTAAACCCTTTCAAAATGTAAAAACCATTCTTAGCCTGTGGGTGATACAAAAAAACTGGCCATGAGCTGGATTTGACCTACAGATTGTAGTTTACCGACCCCTGGTCTAGAGCATAGGGAAGTGAAAGATGGTAAAAGTCTTACTTTGCTCAGAAAAAGAAATTCAAAGATACTGTTTCATACCAGTCTCCAATCAAAGAAACCAGGGCTCCTTTGAGGAATGGCTGATTTCAGGGCTGGGGCAGGAAAAATACAAGATAAGCCTGGAACATGTTATGGTATCAGAAAATAAGGAAGTGCTCAAAAAAGAATGAGGGCATGCTGAGAGAACCCTGGAGTCAGTCTGAAGGAGTTCCCAATGGCCAAAGTTTGAACAATTTGAGCAACAAAATAAACAATGATAGCATTGGGCTACAAGCCATCAAATATGATAAATACCCATGAGCCCATACTGATAGAAACAAATCACTGAATACATAAATGAATGGGAGAGGGGTAGGGACAGCTGTTCCTTACAGAGGAATGCCAATTAATAAATGTAGAAAGAATACGGTACATAGAAAATCAACACTAGGCAACACTATTGTAATGACTGTTACAGATGAGATCCACCAATGGATGCTAAAACCATTAGGCAAAATGTATAGTCTCAAAGTACCTCCCTCCAAGATAATTACCAATTATAGACGGAAAAATAGTAACTTTATAGGGGAAAAACATGAGAAACCCTATCTTAACCAAGAGATCAAAGTCAACAAGTAATAAGCCATTACATCACGTAACCCCTGATATGATGTACAGAGGACACAACATCACTTCTGTGGTATTCCTGCCAAAGATGCATAATTTCAATATAATTACAAGAAAAATATCAGACAAACACGAGGTGAGAGACATTCTTCAAAACAGTATTCATATGGGGCTGGCCTGGTGGCATAGTGGTTAAGTTCACATGCTCTGCTTTGGCGGCCTGGGATTCGCAGGTTCAGATCCCAGGTGTGGACCTATACACTGCTTACCAAGCCATGCTGTGGTGGCGTCCCACATACTAAACAGAGGAAGACTGGTAATGGATGTTAGCTCAGGGCCAACCTTCTTCACCAAAAGACCTCCCAAAGAACAAAAAACAAAACAAAATAAATAGCATTCATCAGAAGTCTCAAGGTCATGAAAGACTGAGGAACTGTAGCAGATTAGAGGATGCTAAGGAGACACAATAACTAGACACAATATGGGATCTGGGACTGGACAGAAGAATCTGATCCTGGGACAGAAGAAGGACATTAGGGGAAAACTTGAGAAAATTCTAAAAAGATCTGTAGATTATTTAATAGTACTGTATCAATGTTAATTTCCTGGTTTTGATAATTGTACTGTGGTTAAGTAAAATGTTAACATCAGTGGAAGCTGAGTGAAGGGTACACGAGAATTCTCTATAATAATTTTGCAAGTTCTCCATAAGCCTAAAATTATTTCAAAATAAGAAAGTTAAGAAATAACTTTACTACAAAGAAAAATATTCTTTTTCAGTCTTGAGGTGGGTAGAGCAAGAGAGGTTTAAGTAAATTCTTTAAAGTCAAATTAAAGACTATTCTATTACAAAGCAATAGGAAGCACAACTTTAAAATCACTTGAGGGTAGAAAGAGTGGTAATAAAATGTGAGCAAAATAGGAATAGCTGGAAATAAGAAGAATGAGGAACAGAAAATATAAAATAAAATGGCAGGAATAAGAAAAGACATTATTTACCACAATAAATGAGAGCGGATTGCATTCCTTTATTAAAGGCAAGGAATCTCAGACTGATTAAGAAAGGAAACTAACAGAATCCTCATTACAATGGACACACTTAAAGTGGCAATAACTTAAAAAAAAAAGGATAAGCAAAGATATGTCATAACTTTCTTAAGCCAACAAAAACAAGGCATTTGATATTAATATCAGAAAAAACAGGATTCAAGGTTAAAAGCACTAAGTGGGAAAATAAAGGATGGACCGTACTGACAAAAATACAATTTTCAAGGAGGAGCTGTATTTCACCTTTACAAAATGTAAAATGCAGTGGCAAAATACATAAGACAAGAAACAGCTCTCAGAATGCGATAGCATCAGAACCAAGAAAGCTAAAAGACAGGCAGATTCTAAATCATATAATCAGAATAGTTATAGTTAATAGAGGCGAGGGCCCCATCCAAAAGACACCAGTTTTAAATATATGTGGAACATTTTCCAAAATTGGAACAACTTGACTTATTGACAACGTTGGAAGAGAAAAGGCAGTGTAATGATTTCTTCTTTGGGCTGAGAAAATTCCTGCCAACACAGAATTCCATACTCAGTGAAAATATCCTACAAGAATCTTCATGTGGTTAAAAACAGAGAATTGTCAAGAGCAGACGTGCACAAAAGGACATTTTAAGGATGTTCTTCAGGTAGAGAAAAAATGATCCCTGATGAAAATAAATAATGACAACAACAGCAGAGAAGTCAGGAGGTGGGTAACTGATAATGAAGTATTCGAAGGCTCCAAAATTGTCCAGCAAATGCCAACTAATAATACTTGATAATGTGTGTTTAGTTGTCACTATCTCCTGGCATTGCTCTGTGGATTTTCACATTATTTTTTTATTTTTATTTTTTTGAGGAAGATTAGCCCCAAGCTAACATCTGCTGCCAATCCTCCTCTTTTTGATGAGGAAGCCTGGCCCTGAACTAACATCCGTGCCCATCTTCCTCTACTTTATCCGTGGGACGCCTACCACAGCATGGCTTGCCAAGCAGTGCCATGTCCACACCAGGGATCCGAACTGGCAAACCCCGGGCCGCCAAAGCGGAACATGAGAACTTAACCGCTGCACCACCAGGCCAGCCCCCGCATTATTAACTCATGTAACAGCTACAGTAACTACATATGGAAGACACTATTTTTATTCCATTTGCACAGGAGAAAACTGAAGCACAGAGTATTTAAGTAATTTACCTAAACTCACAGATCTAGTAAGTGGCAGAGCTAGAATTTGAACTCAGGTAGTCTGATTCCAAAGTCTGTGCCCTCAACCATGACACAACCTTACCTCTCAACAGCTAAGAGAAAAATGAATTGCTGAATTAGGTAAAGTGAGAAGCTGTTTTAAGAAAATAAGTATTTTTTAAGGGATGAAGATCCTCGCAGAGAAAAGGATCCGAAGTACAGGTAAACAGCTGGCCACTGGGGAAGAAGGTAGCACATTTCTTCTAAAATGGGAGGAAAATATGAAAGAAGAAAGAACAGAGAGGAATCAATGGGGGCAAGGGCAGGGTTCCCTTGGGAGCTGAGGCTGACAAGGTCTGCTCTTCGTGTGTGTGTCTCAGGCAGTTTTTGGGATGGCTTTGAGGGGAGCTTCCCATCACTGACTCAAGTTACTGCTATCAGTGGGCTCACCTGCTGGGCTATGATTCCCAATGACCTCCAGTGGATCAGCCCTTGCTCACCTGGGCACCATGCTCCTGGCATATCATTTGCAATTGTCCAGGGTTCCTTCCCTTGCTCCAATAAGGAAACGACATCAGGCTTAGCAATGGAAAGTCCTGTTTATAGAAAAAGAAATGGAGCATGATTACATTCTTCCAAATTTCAAACCCCATCCCTTGGTCATCAAAGAAGAGAGGCAATTACATGAAGGAAGGTGTAAAGGTTGTCTAAAGGACAGGAAGATGGAGGTGCCAATGGAATTACCTATTTCCAATTCCACAAACACAAACAATTCTCTTGGGAACAGACAGCAGAAATTCAGCTAGAAACTTGTGAGTCTCCCTAGATATTCTGGTATCGTGAAGATAGCAGAAATTCTAGAAGGCTAGTCCTGAGTTATTTAAGAGTAGGTAAGCATGGTGGTTTTTCTCCATTTGCCTTCTCCTTCCCTCCAATCCCTTCACAGCTGTTTCTGGCCCTGCTCTGTGTCCCAGACAGCTTACTGTAAAGACTGCATTACTCTGGCCCTATGGGTCTGGCAGAGGGAAAGCGTCAGCAGGAGGTCAGTGGGCAGGAAGAGAGAGAGTTCAGGGTATTTCTTATCCCCTCCCTCCCTCCTTTGACCCAGGAGTTCTGGAGGTGGCTACTGTTGCCGCCAGCTGGGCCCTTCTCCATGACTCTAGCTCTCACCAGCATCCAGTGGCAGTGTTTCCTCCTTTAGCCCTCCCGGCAGAGGTGGTAACAGTCTCCCTCTATTGTAGTCCCTGGGAGCCTTGTTTTCCGTCTGGCCTTGTATCATACAATATCCTTACCCAGTGAGACCAAGTTACTGAAGTTCTCCAAAGTCACATCCCTGTACAAGTCTCTCTGGGCAGGTTCCAGGCACTTCCATTCTTCCTGAGAGAACTCTATGGCCACATCCCTGAAGGTCACCAATCCCTGAAATAATAAACCCATGCATTACCAGTAAATGAAAGGACTATTATTTTTTCCATTTATTACAAAAAAATCTCAAAATACACCAAAGTATAGAGAATAGTATAATGACCCCCAAGAATCCATCACTGTGTTTCAACAATTAACAAGACTTTGCACATCTTGTTTCATCTCTTCCCTTCCATTTTTTACCGCTGGTGTATTTTGAGGCAAATCCTACATACCAAATATCATAGTATTTTACCCATAAATACTTTCGTATTTAACACATTAGACTTAAAAAAAAAAAAGCAGGGCCCAGCCTGGTGGCACAGTGGTTAAGTTCGCGTGCTCTGCTTTGGTGGCCTGGGGTTCTGTTCCTGTGCGCGGATCTAGAACCACTTGTAAAGCCATGCTGTGGTGGCATCCACATAAAATAGAGGAAGGTTGGCGCAGGTGTTAGCTCAGTGACAACCTTCCTCACACACAAAACCCCATAAAACCAGAATATCATCATCAAGCTTAATAAAATTTACAATAATTTCCTAATAAAAAGATCAAGTTTCAAACTGCCCCAATTTCCTCAAAAGTGATTTTTTACAGTTGGTTTGTTCAAATCAGGGTTCAAATAAGATCCACACACTGCATTTAGTTGATAGGTTTCCTAAAGTCTCTCAAATCTCTAACAGTCCCCACAAACTCTTTAAAAAATTTTATTGCTATTTCTTGAGGAAACATTTGAATCAGTAGAATTCCCCACGTTTTGGATCTGGCCGAGTGCGTCTTCATGACGTAGTTTACCACGCTGCTTTACTTCCACGCTTTCTGTGAACAGGTCGTTAGACCTGGAGGCCCGACGCACAGGTTTTGGAGGGCTGTGACTGCGTCGGAGGTGGTGCCGTGTACTTCCTACAGCACCCCATTAGGAGGCACATCGTGACTGGTTGTCCCATTTTTAACAAGGTTAAAAATTGATAAGTAGGTTCAGATTTTGGCAACCTGACTCATCCAGGAAAATGTCCAAAAGATGGAAAGAGAGGAGATGGAGAACTGCAGCGTAGGAAGGAGATGATAAAGCAAGCAAGCTGGGGCCAAATGCCTATGCCACGAAGGAAGCAGAATAAGCAAAGTTATTTGACTAAAGGCCTACATGCTTCTGAATATTCCTCTGGCTAGAGACGAAACCTCCTTCCTTTTCCACAAGGGTCTGTGACTGAGCAAAATCTAGCTAAGTAGAGTCTTATAAATAAATGAGATAACATACACAAAACACACAGGAAACATGGGCCTTGCAAATAATGGTCTTTAAAAATTAGTGCCTTTTACTATTTTTCCATTGAGATGATAAAAAAGAATCTAAAATGTCTAATAAATCTCTATCTAAAAATATAGGACTTATAGAAGTTTTAAAACTATCCTGAAGACTCAGGGTCATAATTAGTCCATGGATCTCAACCCAGGTTACACCTTCCCCTTTAGGACGTATTTGGGATCACGGAGGGGATGGTCTAGCTGTTGTAACGTTGGGGGAGGCTGGGCTGGGGTGGGCAGTGTGCTGCTATTGGCATTTAGTGCCTGGCGTCAGGAATGTTGTGTCCTGAATTATCTGGGCCAGGTACCCAGGACAGTCCCAAACAACAAAGAACGGTATTGCTGAAAATGACAACAGTCTCCCTACTGAAAAGCAGTTTGTCAGATATCACGAGCATATTTTTTGTTTGACAAATTTTATTATAAACACAGGAATTTTTATTTGCTACATAACAAGGCACCTTATGTCCTGTAAGATATAATCATTCCATTATTTGGGGGCATTCAGCTTAAACATGATCTGTAAAATCTTCAGTGTTTATTATATACTTGTTAACATCTACCATCCTTCACTGTCTACTTTTTCTTGTTCCTGAAATAAGAAAGTTGATCGGGGGTGTATCTCAGTCACACGAATGTGGCCCACAAGCAACACAGATTGTTCAACCTCAAAACGGACCATTTTACGGTTCTTCATCTCTCATAAATTCCCTTGGAAGACTGAAGAACTTTCTGTAACGAAAGTTCCCAATCACAGCCCCCACCCTAAAGGCTTCACAAAACAGGAGATGTCACCACACACCGAGACCAGGACCAACCACTCCAGCTCTGACCATGTCTACACGGGAGAGGGAAGACTGGGGGCTCCTGCTGCAAACACCTAGGCACGGAATAAACTATAACAAATGCCCTTTTAAGTGCATTTCTAAGCTCTCAAGAAGATAAGGAAAATTACATCCCAGGGCTAACAAAAGAAGCAACACACACACACAGAGTTGAACCCAGAGAGGTAGGCAAATACGTTAGCAGGGGCCAGCCCGAAGTCAAATGCTTTGGGGAATTCACCTTAGTATGGGGCCTGGCACATCTACCAAATGGGGTGTGAACCCAGGACCCTCACTTAAAGCTGGGATCCTAGAAGAGCTACTCTCTCAGTGAAATGGTGGCTCCAGGGAAAACCTTGCTGGAAAAGAGTGACAAGGAACCTGCTGCACTCCAGGTAGAAAAAAAAGGCTATCATTAATGATATTACTTTACTACTAATAACCATTTCCTTTGCCAATCTAGAACCAAAGGCCTACTCTCAAATATGCAATTCAAAGTAACTTCATTCATGTAGTTAGGGGAAACCCCAGGTGAAAAATTAAATGTGTGCCAAGTTTGAGAACACTTCTAGGTGAAAAACCTCTCTGAAGAAAGGCATCATCTACCCAGTTCCCAACAGACCACCGCATATTAAATTAGGTCAACCAAGACAATTCAATGGGAAAGAGCAGTCTTTTAACAAACAGTGCTGGGGCAAGCGGGTATCCACAGGCAAGGAATAAGGCTGAACCGCACCTCACACCATATATAAAAATTAACTCAAAAGAGATTATAGTTTTAAATGTAAAAGTTAACACTATAAAACTCTTAGAAGAAAACACAGGAGTATATCTTCATGACCTCAGTCCGGCTTTCTTAGATGTGGCACCAAACATAGTGACAAAAGAACAAAAAGATAAAATAACTTCATCAAAATTAAAAACTTTTGTGCTATAAATGATTCCACCAAGAAAGTGAAAATCCAATCCAAAAAACTGGGAGAAAATGTTTGCAAATCTTATATCTGGTAAGGGACCTGCATCTAGAATATATAGAGAACTCTTACAACTCAATAATAAAAAGACAACCCAACTAAAAACTAGCCAAGAATGTGAATAGAGATTTCTCCAAAGAAGATAAACAAGTGGTCAATAAGCATATGAAAAGATGCTCAACATCACTAATCATTAGGGAAATGCAAATCAAAACCACAATAAGATGCCACTTCAGGGCTGCCTGGTAGTGGTGGCATGGTGGTGAAGTTTGAGCCCTCTGCTTTGGCGGCCCTGGGTTCTCGGTTCGGATCCCAGATGCAGACCTAGCACTGCTCCTCAGGCCACGCTGTGGCTGCAACCCACATAAAACAGAGGGAGATTGGCACAGATGTTAGCTCAGTGACAACTTTCCTCAAGCAAAAAGATGAAGATTGGCAACAAATGTTAGCTCACGGCCAATCTTTCTCACACACACAAAAAAGATGCCACTTCTTCATATCCTTTAGGATGGCTATTATCAAAAAGACAAAATAACAAGTGTTGGTGAGGATGTGGAGAAATTGGAACACTCTTACATTGCTGGTGGGAATGTAAAATGGGGCAGCCACTTTGGAAAAAAGTTTTGACAGCTAAATATAGTTATCATGTTACCCAGCAATTCTACTCCTAGGTATAGAGAAATGAAAATGTATGTCCACCCAAAAACACTGGCATACACTTATGCTCACAGCAGCATTATTAATGATAGCCAAAAAGCAGAAACAACCCAAATATTCATAGACAGATGGACTGATGAAAAAATGTGGTACACACATATCCATGGAATATTATTTGGTATAGAAATGAATGAAGTACATGCTACAACATGGATGAAGCTCGAAAACATTATGTTAAGTGAAAACAGCCAGATACAAAAGATCAAATATTGCACGATTTCATGTACATATGAAATGTCCAGAATAGGAAATCCATAGAGACAGAAAGAAAAGTAGTGATGCCAGTGGGTGAGGAGGAGCGACTGGGAGTGACTGCTAATGCAAATGGCATTTCTTTTTGGGGCGATAAAAATGTTCTAAAATGGATTGTGCTTATGATTGTACAACTCTGCAAATATACTAAAACCCACTGAACTGTATACTTAGATGGGTGAATTTTACTGTATGTGAATTATATATACAATAAATAAAGCTGTTAAGAAAGTTATTGAGGACCTCAAAGAACTTCTGTTAATGCTAGTCATATCTATCAATATTTACCGCATGAGAAATTAAAAGTGATAAATTTAAAAACTATTAATTTAGGCAATCACAACTAGAATACACAAGCATATACCGGGGGGCTTTGGGGAGAAGAAAAAGAAATAAAAATGAACAAAAACTATTAATTTATTTAAATAACCAACAATAAATCTGTTACATGCTAACATGAATAACATACACTTTATGAAAAATGACTCCATTCTCAAAAAAATTTAATAGCATAGTTTTACACTTTTGCAAATCTCTTTAATGACTGGCTGAATAAGAGACAGCTGGATTGTCACATCTGCTTCTGCATTCAATCTGCTAGGACAGCACATATCCTATAGCTCCACTGTACACTTATTAAAGAATGTGAGTGAGAAAGGCAGCTAACATTTGAGTATCATTATGAAAATAATTCTGACCCCTCAGGCCTCCGGAAAGGGTCTCAGTCTTCTTGGACCATGCTTTGAGACCGCTGATCCAGTGCTACACAATCTAACATGAATGATTTGAAAACATACCGTGAGTGAAAAAATCTGGTAAAAATATAGAGAAAGTATGATAACTTTAAAAATTTAAAAACAGAAAACAACACTACATTGCTTAGTATGCATTCATATACAGTAAAACTTTTATAAAAATCAAAGGATTAATAAACACAGAATTAAAAGTAGCCCTTACTATCAGTGTGAATGGTAATGTGATATGGGAGGGGATATGATCCCGGGAGGGAACACAGGATGCTTAAACAGTATATTGACCTGGGTGATGAGCAGATCAATACTCACTTTATTATTCTCTTTTTATTTTTTTTTTTGAGGAAGATTAGCCTTGGGCTAACTGCTGCCAATTCTCCCCTTCTTGCTGAGGAAGACTGGCCCTGAGCTAACATCCATGCCCACCTTCCTCCACTTTATATGTGGGACGCCTACCACAGCATGGTGTGGCAAGTGGTGCCACGTCCGCACCCGGGATCCAAACTGGCGAACCCCGGGCCGCCGAAGCGGAACATGCGAACCTAACCGCTGCGCCACTGGGCCGGCCCCTCACTTTATTATTCTTATTTTTATTAATTGTTTACCATTCTTCATACCATATATACGTTATAAATGTTTTGTATGTATTCTTTGATCATATGAAGTGTTTTATGATTTTTTTAAGAGGGGTGGCATTTAAAAATAGAAGAACGAAAGGAAACCACCCAGATTAACGGAAAAGATCAAAGTTATCTCATCTTTGGCCCCACTCACCCATGGTTCTGAGAAGGGAGGCTCTCATATTCTCCTAGGAGAATGTATTTCTGCTCTCCTGGTGCTCGGGAAGAGCATAGTGCACAAATGTCTACACTGCTGGAGAAGAGAGAGCCACCGAGGGAAGTGGAGCAGCGCCACTTACTCCCGGGGACGGAGGAATGTGGAGCAGGTTACTGAAAGGGGCTCAGTGAGACAGGGAAGTTTCAGGATGAAAAACACAAACGTTCATACGATCTCGAGGGAAGACATTATTTCACGGATAGAGGAAATTTCAACTTACTTGTGCCATGGCTTTTAGAACTCCCTGAGCTGTTCCGATTTCTCTAGATTCTTCTCTCAGACAACTGCAGAGTCCTGAAAAAGAAGAGTAGCGAGAGAAAGGGGAAATCTCCCATAAGCCAAGCTGGCCTTAGCACTCCTGAACAGATGGGCTTAAAACACTTGTAATTCCAGTGTCCCTGCTCTGCCTCCCTTGCCCTCCCCTTATCCCGCCACACAACACTAATATTAAGAACTACAGAGTTAACAAAACCCAGCCCTCCTCTAAACTCTAGGGAAACCAAAAATGGATTCAAAGAAGATGTGCTCCAGCACTGACATAAAATCCAAGAACCTCGGCGGCAGGGATTCCTGCCCGGACAGTCCCCCATCTCGTTGATGCTAACCTATACCCTAGAGGGGGCCTAGATAGCTCCCACCTGTTCCAGGCCCATCTTCCTTTGCAGCTGAAGCAAGCAGGATCTCGGCTCAGACTCACCCACTTTACCCTCTAAGGATGAGAACAGCACCCACAGGCTAGGAGCACAGCATACCTGTGCAGGCCAAACCTGGAGAAAAAGCAATCCTTAAAGTCTTCCAGCTTCCCTGGGCTCAACAGGCAAAACCTCTTGGGTACCTCCCCTACTCTACTTCCTCCTTCTGAGTCCAAAGAGGGACCCCACCAATAGCAGAGGCTTTGTCAAAGACTCCAGCCCCAGCTGGACTCACCAGAAAGGAACAAGAAAACCACAGTAATACAGGCATCTTACAAGCAAACCTGCATATTCAGAGTATTGACCTGAATGGGAACTCAGCTTCTAGAAGCCTCTTGGCCCAGCCCTCCTTATTTTCCATCTAAGCCCTCCCTACTGCTTTCCTGCAGACCATCACTTCCTCACTGGCTGGCAGCTGCTGAGGCCGGTGTTCTGTGGAGAACGGCTCGTACCTCAAAGTAAAGAGAACTCAGGGGTTTTAAGGAGGGTAGTAAGGCCAGTTCCAACTAGAGGTACAGGAAGCCTGCTGTCGGGGGGAGGGGAGTCAGAGGATGACTAATGTAATAACTGCCAGAGTGGTGTCAAGGAAAATGTTCTGTAAGTTGTAGAATATGAATTGGGACCTAAAAATCAGACAATTTTAATAGGCAGAAAAGGGACAGAAGAGCATTCTGAACAGAGTGAAGAGGAGCGGCAAAACAGTGGACCAAAAGCATATGGTGTGTTTGGGGAGAGAATAATTCAGAGTGACTTGTGTAGTTTGGGGAAAGGTCTAGACCAGTGCTCTCCAATAAAACTTCCTGTGATGATGGAAATAGACATCTTTGCATCTGTACTGTCAATAATGTAGCTATTAGCCACACGTGGCTACTAAGCATTTAACACGTGGCTAGTAGGACTGACGAACTGAATTTCTCATATAATTTAATTTTAATTAATCTAAGTTTAAATTTAATTACTTCCAGAATCCAGAGGAAAATAATGCTGGAGGTGACATCAGGGGTTGGAAAATGAAGGCATATGAAAGAAATAAAATAACTACAAGGGCAAGGACCAGGTCTCACCATCACTGTTACCAGCACTTGCCACCGTGTCTGGAGGACGCAATGAATACTGACTGAACACATAAAAGTTTGGTTTTCACGCATTAATGAAGGGAAAGCCACAGAAGAATTTAAAGAGGAGGTGATAGGGCCCTGGCCAGATTATTTTATTGAAGAGAAGTAAAACTGAAGTCAGGGATATCAGCTGAAAGGTGCTTATGGTTTTCCAAGCAAACAAAGGGCCTGACCCAGCACAGTGATCGTGGAAATGAGGAGGACAGGAATGAATTCGAGTTGTAGGGAAATAAAATCAACAGGCTCTGGCATCTGATTGGATATGAAGATTGGATATGCAGAGAGAGAACGAGGGGTCAAGAATTCTTTCGTATTCACTGAGTTCCTATCTCAACTGGCACAGTTCTACCTTGGAGGAAGACACTAAATCCAGTCCCTGTCTCAGTGGCTCTCACATTCTAATGGACAGAGACAACAACAAATACTGATATGCTGACATTGATATTTCTGTTTATATGTCAGGTGGCCAAAGTTTTATGGAGAAAAATAAAGAAGGGTGAGGGGACAGGGAGCTCTGGGGGGATGGAGGGTGGCCTGAGAAGGCTTTTCACTGAGAGGGTGACATGTTAGCACAGACTGAATGGAGTGAGGGAGCAATGCAGATATCTACGGGAAGCACATTCCTAGCAGAGAGAACAGCAAGTTGGCGACAGTGAGTTCAAGACAGGATAGAATGCAAGGAAGTGCGGACAGAAGAGCCATCCCTTTCATGGAGTTTTACTGAAAAGAACAGAGAAATGAAGCTAGAGGTAGGTATGGGGTCCACGTAGGGTGGGTTGGTTGTTTTGAATGTGGAAGAAATTACAGCATGTTTTATAGCCATGGGAATAACCCAGTAGAGAGAAAACAAACAAAGGAGACAATCGCTGGAGCAATGATCTTGAGTAGGAGAGAGGGGACGGGAACCAGCACCCAAGTGTTGGGGGCTGAACTACAGAACAATCACAAATAGCTCATCCCTAGGGAAGGTAGAGTATATAGTGAGTATAGGAATGGCCCCCAGGATTCTAGGGTGAGGTGATGTGGTGCCATTCATATACACTTTTCATTTATTCTTATTTTTATAACCACCCTGTGGGTTAAATAAAGTTAATTTTATTCCCTATAATATACAGAAGAACTAGAATGTCTGAAGGTTATGAGACTCACCCAAGGCCACACTGCCAGGAAAATCAGAGACGGGATAAGAACCCACGTGTTCTATTTTGCTGCCCATGGAAGTTTCCATCAGCGTAAACTGCCTCCCGGTGGTTACTGCCATTAATGAGGGAATGGACCATAAATCCCAGGTTAGAAAGGGGGCAATAGAGAGAGTTAGGGGTTAATGGGAGAAGGAAAGTGGAACCTTTTGTAAGTGCTTTGTCACAGGAGAAGGTTCTGACAAGTAATAGTTTCTTCTAAGAATTATTAGACAAGAAGGCACCAGATACGTTAGGAATCGGGGTGGGGGGGAGTATTCAGAGGAAAAAGACACAGAAGAAAGGAATTCTGAAAATAAAGGTCAAAGATATGGAAGAGAGATCCAGAAGACCTAAAATACGTATGAAAGTAGAGAATAAAACAGAACCACTGGAGAAAAAATGAATAAAAGAATATTTTCCAGAGGAAATGAAACATTTGAATCTTTAAATTAAAAAGAATCCCTGACGGCTTACAAAAAATCACAGAGGGCCACACCTGGATGTCTGATTCTGAAATTTTTACTTACCAACAGGATATTCATTCTTCTTAAATGTCCATGGTCTACCTACAACTTGCCATGCAATACGAGGCTTCGTATGTTCTTTCTGCAATACTCTCCTAGACAGTCACAGAGCTCCCTTTCTCTCTTTACAAAAGTTTCCGCTTAAACTTCACCTCTGTGAGCAAACTATTAAAATACTACCCCTTGCCATTCTCTCTGGCCTTCCCTGCTTTATTTTTCTGTATAGCTCTCAGTGCTACTAAAAATTATACTATATATTTGCTTGTCAATTATTTGACTCTTCCGACTAAACTTACAAGGAGGGATCTTGTTGATTTTGTTCATTATTAATTCCTCAAGACATAAAATACTGCATGAGAGGCACTCAAACACTGCAATGAATGTACAAGATCGCAGTGAAAACTTTAAGAATGTATCAAAGCAGAAATTTCTCAGACTATTTTTTGTGGTCATATCATAAGCCAAAAAGAAGTTCTAACTTGATAAAATATTTAATTTAAAAAGTGAAATATCTGTAAAAGCATTTCAGACAAATATATTTATATTTTGTGGACACATGACATAAAAGACAAAAAAAAATGCAAAGAAAAAACAAATATTTGATAAGATTAAAAAAATTCTACCCCAAAACACTAAAATAAAAATGAAAAGAGAAATGATAAAATGGAAAAAAATATCTTAACTCAAAACTCAAATACACAATAGAAATCCTTAATGGATAGTGCTTTTAAAATTAAATTTTCAGAAAAAAGCAATAATTTTAGATAAATGAGCAAAGGATATGCACGGGCAATTCACTAAAATAATAGTGGTTCATCAACCTATCAAAAGTTTTTAAACTTCACTAGTAATGAAGGGAATGCATGTTAAAGCAATAAGGAAATGCCATTTTTATAGTTATCAATTGGCAAAGATTTAAAAGATTGATGATACTCCACGAGAGCATCATGTGAGGAAATAGACACACAGGTTGTAGCTGATGTAAACTTTCAACAAGGCAATGTTAGCAGAAATTAAACTATGTATATCCTCTGATAAAGCAAATCTGTATCTGACACGCTATCCAAAAGGTGTGTGGGGTATATGATGGAGACGTGGAAAATGGAAACAATTTGGAGAGAACTTAAATATTCTACAAGAGAGGAGTGATTAAATACACTATAGTGTATCCATAAAATGGAAACATTGTTGCCATAAAAAGAATGATACATATCTTTGTTGATGTCAAGATGTTAAACCATGCTGGATGAATAAGGTAGGCAATAAAACAGTACGTGTTGTGTAATCCTATTTTCATAGGAAAAATATACATATGTGTATATATATGTATGTGTGTATGCATAGAAGATGGACTGAAAAGATTTTCAATTAAATTTTTACAAAATTTGTCTCTAAGTGTATAAAAATCCAGGAATCTTTGTTTACTTCCGTATTTTCAAATTTTCCCTTAAGCATGTTTTATAATCATAAATAATACAATTAATCCCCTCCTGCTTATGGAGGGGTGGATTATAAAAGGAAATATGAATGGAGTGATTCACGAGTGACAGTGGGTGCCTCTGGGAACTTTACGCTGAAGGAGCGTGATTTTCTCCATAGTTCTAGAGCCTTTGAGGGGCGTGTCCTTGAACAATAACTTAAAGCTGCTGACTTCCCACAAAGGATGTGAGCTTTCATATGAAGGGCTTCCTGTTTCCTTAGTCCCCTCACTCACCCGTGCACAGGCCATTTGTTAACCTCTCTCCAACCAGTCCAGGATGTCCTCCTTGCTCCAAAAAG